TTATCATTTGAAGCCAAATTCAACATCTTTTGCTTAAGAAGTGAAAAGAACTAACTGTTCCTTCAAGATTAATTTTAGCATTCTAATGAATTATAATTAATTCAGTTGATCAATCAGTTATTTTTCACTAGAGCATTCAGCCAGAATGGGGAGACATAGATATATATAAATCCCAATAAAAATGATGACTTGATTTCTTCATGATAGTATTAGCCAATAACTCCATCTCCCCAAATGACCCCCCACCCAATAAGAAGAATAAGGAGAGTTGGTATTCATTCATTCATTATGCATTAATTTACTACCATTTGCCAAGTCATTCTACTCTAATGGGCGGAGGGAGGGGAAGAACAGATAGGTAAATAGATTACTATAATACAATAAGTGCTATAATATAAAAAAGGACAGCACCAAACCAAGAAGGAAGGGTTAAGAAAACTTTTTGGAAGAGGCAGCCATTAAGGTGAATGAAGCCATTATGTAATCTGGGAAGTCAGAGTTAGTTGGGCCAGTGGTTGGGAAAGGGAGTTCTATTTACCAAGCACAAAGAGTTCTGCTTGGTAAAAGGATTAGGGAAGAGGTGCAAAGCGGAGGGAGGTGGGCTAGAGAGGTAGGCAGGGTTTAGACCTAAGAGACATGGTATGCCTGTGAAGAAATTTTAACTTTATTCTTAATGCTGTTGGAGCCATCAAATTAGAAAAGTCTGTCTGTGGGCCAGAGGAATTTGGGGTCTTGGGAGGTCTGTCTGCTGACCCAGAAAGCCTCAGGGTTGTTAGTGAAATCCAAGAAACAGCAGGGTAAGGAGAGGTTCTGCTCTTTGCTGCATGCTATTTAGCTCATACCTGGGCAAATCAGACACTAGAACTCAGGTTTCCTAATTCCTGCACTGGCATTTTTTTTTTCCTCTCATCCTACAATGCCTTCCCATTTCTTTGGCATTTTCTTTTTTTAGAGAATTCTATTCCTTTTGTAATGTGTGCTGAGACACCAGAGCATTTTTAAAGGTAATCTCCTCTCCATACATATTTATCATGGTGACGGTAACGTTTAGACACTCTCACCGGCAATCCCATCCATGCAATCTCACTTGGTTTCCTTCTGAGAATGAGAAAGCTATTTTTACTTCTATGGGTGAAAATCAAGAAGCCCTAAATTTCTCTAGCTAAATACTTTAAACTTGAAGCTTTAAGTTGTCTTCATATTGCAGTTCGGAGAATAAAGCAAAGCAGTTGTTTTATTTCATTCTTTAGTATCAAAAGATAACTGCTCATTGTTAATGAGAATTGTAGGGCCAGTTCAACTACAGTGATAAATTCAGAGCATAAAAGATCGTATATCAACACGACCTCACTAACCTTCTCTGTACCAAATGACAAACTGCTAGAAATAGCCTTTGGATCAGGTCACAGACACACTAAAATACTTACCCTTCACCACAGAACTCTATTGAACCCTATCTATCATTTACCACCTTCAATCACAGAAGCCTGCTTCAACGCTAAAGAGAATTTCAAACAAGAACTAAAAGAGGAGGAAAACTTTCTTCAAATAGCCCAACTTCTGATTTTATTTAGCATTTCTTTGAATTTTTGAAATAATGTGACAAAAGAACAGAGCTAGTCACATTAGGCTTGATGCAATTGTGGAAGGACTGTGGTAAAAGGAAAAGAATGGGGTCTTATAGCCGACGCGTATCCACCTGGTATCTGAGCCTCACTTTCTCCTTCCGGAAGAGGTTAGTGTCATATCAACTCTATAACAGTAGGATAGATGTATAACATTCCTTTGTTTTGTTTTTTTTTTTTTGGAACAGCAGAATGAGACCCAGCTAACAGAGACTGTTAAGCTTTTTAAGAGAATGGTGAGATTTAATCAAGGGTTCTAAGACTGCCATCTTCATGTCATATATATTTACTGCACATACTTCAACCCTATCTTCAAATAACTGCCATTAATTACTGTTCTGAATTGTCTACAAAGGACTTTGTCAGTCTACTTAGAGAATAGGGGTTTTAAATATATCTTCTTCAGGGAAATTAATATACTCCTCAACCACCATTGACCACTCTAACATTCCTGTGCTATTTTCACGTATTTTTCATGTGAGATAGAAATATTTGGGGAGGTGTAAAAATTAAAGTATATTCTTGTGTGGGTTGTTGAACTTCATAGTTTGTCAGTGGGTAATTAGTGAGATTTTGCACTGTGCATAGCACTTATGCATTTGACTTTGGGATAGGCAGTGTGGCTAACTGGAGAAGCAATACTGAGCCACACACACACAGTCCTTGCATTTGTAAAGCTGACAAGGGTAATAGCCAAGATGATTTGCTGAGTGAGTGAATGAATGAATGAATGGCTCTTACCTTTGACAAACTTTTAACACAAAAACTGCATTTTCCTATGACTGTGTATAAATTACAACAAAACAACTAGTCAATAGATTTTAAAAATATATCTATTGTAATTTTAATTTAAGCTTTTTAAAAGTTTTTTTGTCAGGTCTTTATTTACATATATATCATTTAGTCAAGTGCTGGGGTCCAGCCTCAGTGGGAACTCAGGGTCCAGCCTCGGCAGGGTCTCAAGGTCCCCAAAGGATGCACGGCTAAGGTGAAGCAAATGAAGCAAGACACCTGGTGGGGTGCCGGAGGAGAGCCAGGCTTTTTGGGCCCGACTGACTCACCAAGAAAAATCAATCTTTATTTTCATAAGGGAGGTTATACAACATTCAATGCATAGTGTGATTATTAAAACAGAAATGGTTACCATAGAAATAATTTCGAAAAATACAGAAGGTTTTACAGATCAATCACATTAAACAAAGAAATAACTGAAAAGGACAGGAGGTCCCACAGATCAACCATATTAAACAAAGGTTATTTTGACCAAGAGGGTCATTAATCAGATAGCCAATGAAGCTATACGGGCACAAACTTTCAGGTGCCAATTAGTAACTAGGTATCTATTAAGATTCTAGGGATTGGTCTAAATTAAAAGGATGCAAGGGGTGATTTATAGGTATACAGAAATCAACTATTGTCCATTGAGGTTAAATTTGTCTCGGTTAGGTAACTGGTTTTTTGCCTAGGTTTTTTGATTTATATATCTTGGGGGGAGGGGGCATGTTTTGTGTGCATTTCCATGTATTGAGATTATTATTTTCAACTAGAACTCCTTGCTTCTTTACACTCCTGTCCAGGTTATGGGAGGGGTAGTGGCTCTAATAAATCTTAAGCTTTTGAGTGGTGATTCCTTAAGAAACATCCCTAACAACAGCTTCCTTCAGCATTCTGGCAGTTGGTCTGCCCATAGTTTAATTTTTGTCCTTAATTTCCTAGGTAGGGGGAAGTAGGCAGCATTAGGGTTGCTAGGGGTCTCTATTCTGTGGTCAGCAAGTCATTTCATGCAGAATCAGAGGCATAGTGCAGATTTTTTGTTATAACACACAGGTATCCAAAAATCCCACCACCTATTGCTAGCAGGGACAGGCATACAGGAGGAGCTAGACAGGAGATCCGGCCACAGTCACTTCTGCTGTGCAGATGTGTCTCATCCGATCTGTCTGTGTCAAAGGGCAGCTATTGGTCAGCTCCCAACAGTCAAGAAAAAGAAAAATCAAAGCATGGATATTGTACCACTCAGAAAAAATACATGTATAATAACAAAATACATCTATCAGCTGCACGCGATTTTAAAAGGATAGCTTTCTAAGTCAGAAAATGCATGACTTTATCCAATGCCATGTGACACACTGAAGCCTTGCAGCATTCCTGCTTTTCCAGCTTGTGCTGTGGGAGACCACTTTATTATGGAGTCCCACTGGATCCTCAACAGCTAAACCTCTGCTGAGAGGCTCTGAAGAGTTTTTGTCGTTACCATTAAGGAAACTTCAGTAACATTCTAGTCCATAAATCAGAAATGGGGATGACCATGCCCCTGCTCGTGGCTAACACTTAAAATAACAGTGTGGTGAATATGGCAGAATGTGGATATGTTGTTGGGCATGGAGGGAACTCCCCAATACAGTAAGCCATATTCCTGGCCCCATTCAAAAATCCATCAATGAATCATATATTCATAGAGAACCAGCTACATACTTGGTGCTGTAGTGATTTAAAGAACTGTAAACTGTTTCCACCATCAAGATTATTCCATTCTAACCAGAGAAATCAGAACAAGGCATGAGCAACAAATGCAGAGACATCCCCAAGCCATCACTGTCATGGCAGAACAAAAATTAAAATACAGGTGCTCTCAGTGAGGTATAAGCTGTTCATTCCAGTTACCTTACCACTGTCATTAGTCCTGTCACAAAATCAATGTAGAAACAAAACAACAATGGCTCATGCTGCTGCCCAGCCAGATGATATGAACTTTGGCCAAAAGTGGCAGGTGTTACAGGAATGCTATTTTCATACAGCTTCCTTTTCTCCCTTGGATCTTCAAAGCCAACAAACCTGATCAAATCCTTCTCACACTGCCAGTCCTTTGCTTCTCTTTCCTGTGCCTCCCATGAGATCACCCCAGGCCCACCCAGAGGATACAAGATAATCCTCAATCTCAAGACCCACTAATTAGCAACATTAATTCCATCTGCAACATTAATTCCCCTTTGTCCTATAATCTAGCATATTCATACTTTGGGGGATTAGCGTGTGGACATCTTTGGGGAGTCATTATTTTGCCCAACACTGTATCAGTCTGCTCTGCCTGCCATAGTAAAGTATCATAGACTGGGTGATTTAAACAACACAAATTTCTTTTCTCACAGTCTAGAAGCTTAAAGTTTGAGATCAGAGCGCCAGTATGGTCGATTTCAGATGAGAACTCTTTTCCTGATTTTCAGATGGCTGCCTTCTGCCTGTGTCATCACCTGGCAAACTGGGTGGAGGGTGCTCTCTGGTGTCTCTTCTTACAAGGACACTAATTCTATGGAATCAGGGTCCCTCCCTTATGAGCTCATTTAATTTCCTCCTTTTGGCCCTATCTCCAAACAGAGTCACCTGGTGGGTACAGCTTTGACATATGAATTCGGAGGAGACAAATTTCAATCCATAGCATGGCTGAAGTATGATGAAGAGAAGGAAGTGGAGTGACTCTGGAAAATAAGGAAGTGAAGTTTCCTGGAAAATAAGGAAACTTATTTTCAAGGAATGGTTATAAAGCTAAACCACAGACTCTAAGCTGTAAGTAGACTGAGGGTATGAGAAGGATGATTAGAGGGGAAACTTCTGTTGTTTAAACCACACAGTCTATGATATTTTATTATGGAGCCAGAGCAGACTGATACAGTGTTAGGAAAAATAAAGACTCCCCAAAGATGTCCATGAATTAGCAATACACAGGAACGATGACTGTCAGTGGGGTCAGCAAATTTCTGGCAGGGGAGGACCCGAATCAGCAAGCTGGAAGAATAGGAGGCGAGGGTCAGAGGGCAGGAGATGTAAAAGTGGAATTTCAGAGATTTGGAGCTATTGGAAATGTCAAGGCTTCTGAGTTTTAAAACTGAAGTTCCCAAAGAAACTAATAAAAAGTCATTTTCTTCTGAAATAAGGTAGCTACCTAGTATTGACCCCAAGGAGATAGTAAGATTCCAGCTGTGTATTTTTTAAAAGAAAAGTGCAGATTATCCGTCTTGAAAAGTAAACCTAGTTTCACCTTCTGTCCCTGGCCCCTGGACCTGTCAGGAGAAAGCCCCTCCTCCAGCCTGAGCAAGGCGGAGGGATTTCTGTCACCCAGGGAAGCAGAGGCCACAAGACTGGTGCAGAAGACAGATGCTCTGTGGGGCAAGGTAGCGTTCTATTTATGGATGAGGAAATGACTTAGAAAATTACGTATAAATGCTTCCACTACAATGTGGCAGAGTTATTTGGGCTGCCTTCCATGGTACCTAGGGAACATTTTGTATCCAATTTGCTAAGGATGTTTCCATTTTGAACTTAAAATTGTTTCATGCTTTACTTTGCAATACAAATATGGGTCATCATACTGCAGTGCTCATTGGAAGATTTCTGTCTTGCACACTATGCCCAGAAAGCACTGAATTAGTTCTGCTCGATCGAAACCTGGACAAAATTGAGAAGTGCATAGTTTCTATGTCACATTACTAAAATATCATTATTTTCTTCCAAGTCTGTGCATATAGTGCTTTTTTTCCAAAGCAGTACAAAATGACATGCGCTCTATAACCTGGGGTTTAATATGAGTTGGATGAGAAGTCTATTGAGTAAAATTAAAGAATTAATAAAATGGTGTATTATGTGTTCTGGAGTGAATAATCAATTAAATGTAATTATTATAACAATATTATTGGAAAATAAGGATTTACCCATACCTTTTGAAGAGAATTTAGAAACAAATGTTTGGTTGTTTTAACTAGTTAGAAACAAGTACACTATACATGTTGTAAACATGTTACTAAAATAATAGCAACACTGCCCTTTGGAATATGCAAATACCAGATGCAGCTTTTTAAAAATTCATGTGATTATTTCCATGACACTTCTAATAGCCTCGCATGTCTCATCCCACATCATGTCTTGTGTTCACACCTCTCATATCCACCTTCCTTCTTTCCTTCAATTTTTTAATTTCCTAAGCATCCTGTGAAGCCCAGCTTTTCCGCAGGGACTTCTTGGACCATGAGATGCACACGTTGCTCTCCTCTAACATTCTTTTGGCCTGGGGTTAGTACCACTGTTCTCAAGTCAAGTGGTCTCTGTTGACTAGTTTGAACATTTAACAATGTAATGTCTTTAAGGAAAAATTAAATCATGTCCCTACAGAACCTGCCTGGTCCTGGGCACAGAGTCTCACTGAAGAACAGGTTTTATTTACTGATTTCATGAATAACTGATGCATGCCTCAACTACCCACTCCACCGCAGCCCAGCTACCGGCTAGAGTTTCATTTAGTGATGGCAGTGGGGAGAGTGTCAGGGAAATAAAACAATGGATAGACTCTAGGCTACAGTATATATTTCAGAAACAATTTAATTACTTTAGCCAGATAAAAGTAGACTTTGGGCAAAACAACCCAATTCCCTAATAAGCAGTCACCTAGCAAGAGGTCATGCAAACGGGTGGATGCTCTATATGCATATGTATGCACATGTAAATGGTGTCACTATGGTGTGTCATTTCTGAGTCCTTGCATTGGGAAAGCTTGCAGTCATTCTGCTTTGAGGAACAACGTGGCATGTTGAAAAGGTTGTTGGCTTATGTTTTCTATAGTTCCTACTAAAACTGGAAGTTCCATGAGGGCAAAGACTGTGTCTATACTCTTCATTGTTTAGAGCCTTAATAAGTAACCCAATACCTGCACGTAGTAGTCTCTAAATAAAATTAAATTGATGCAGAGTTGCTCGTTAACACACTGGAGTCCAGGGCTGAGGGGAAAGGCAGTCAGTACTTCGTAAGACTGCAAGGGTAGCAAACACCACTGTAACCCAGGGTACTGTCTAAACCTCTGAATGAGCAGTTTCCATGGATGCCATCCTGCAAGAGAGGGAGCTAGGAGATCCGGGGGTGTCCCACAACACCAGGAAGCAACACTTGGCTGAGGAGGGAGGAGAGCAGTGCTGTGATACAGCCGGACAGTCGGGGGGCACATGAGAACCAAGTCTCAGTTAAGGCTGGCCATGGATTTTTGCAAGGGAGGTTTGTTTGATCCTTGGCCCCACTGACAGACAGGTAGAGGTGAGCATCCTCAGTCAAAATGGGCTCCTAAACTGGAATCAGAGAGGATTGACAAGTAGAACTTCTAGGGGATTTCACTCTGAGTAAAGCAAGGGGAACTTAATGGTCAGCAATTTTGTCACTTGATGGAAAAAAAATAATGGGTACATACATATAAGTGATCCTTTTCCACTAAACTTCTAATAGATGAAAGAGTTACTTCTATTAGTTCAAATACAGGCTTTATATAGTTTTATAATATACTTTATAATAGAGGCTTTATATACTTTTAGCAGCTTGGTTGAGATATAACTGACATATACAATAAACTTTACACATTTTAAGTGTTCAATCTGATAAGTTTCAACATGTAAATATCTGCAAAACCATCACTACAATCAGGATAATGCATATTGCCACCCTCAAAAAAAGTACTCACGCTTCTTTGTAATCACTTTTTGCCAGTTATTGATTTATTGCCTCTCGGCTCCAAAAAGCATTTTTCCAAAAGTAGTTGTGCATATATACAGCATCCTTTTTCCCTGTTTTATAAAAATGGACCTGGGCCACTTAACTATTTTTTGTTTGTTTGTTTGCAGCTGGCACCCTGTCAAGCTTTATCAGTAGAGGGCGCTGGAGAGACATCACAGGAGGGAAGGGCTTTACCTCTGGGTTCAGTAGCATTCAGTGTGGGCCTCTGCATATGCTACTTCTCCAGGGCCAGGCTCCTACAGTCAGTGCCCAGCAGCAGCAAGTAGCCAGAGCTGCCCACAGCACTCCCTCAGACACTTGCATAGCTGTGTGCCTCCAGTGAGACACTTTCCATAGCAGCTCCCCTGGCACACCAGAGGATGGGATGGATCTTAGCCATGTTGCACCATCACTGCACCACAGCAACAACTTCTGTTATTCAGTGAGCCAAAACTAGCTGTGCCCTCTCCAGTGAGGCCTATAACTCAACCTCTGGAGGGAGAAGTGGCAGTGGAGCTTTTTCTCAGCATTCACGGTGATAGCTGCTCCTTACATCTGCTATTCCTATAGGGTTTTCTTTACATCTGACCAGATAATTCCTGGTCACTCCAATCTCCTACTTTATTTAATAGTTCTGTATATTCAATTTTCTCGGTTTCAATTACTGTACTGTTTCTATCTCCTGGCTGAACCTAGACCTCGCTCGGGGTCTAGACCTGCCATTGTTAATATAACAAGAATGTTTTGTGCAATATCAATATAACCTGACAGCCAAGGCAAGTGAACTGGAATGCACATGCATGAAAAATGATGACCTCACTGTAATAGTCAGTGGGGGTGGGAGACACTGTTGAGTGAGCATGTGTACTGTGTGGCCATTGCATTCAAAATGACTGAGTAGAGCAACAGATCTGCATCAAATTTTGCATTAAGTGTGAATATTCCTCTGTGGAAATTATTTGGATGGTTCAAAAGGCCACAGCTATGGGCAAGTGGTGATTGGCATCTTCATCATGACAATGTGCCCATCCATCCATCACTTCTTGTGCAGAGTTTTTTAGGAAAACATCAAATTGCCCAGGTGACTCAGACCCCCAACAGCCCAGATTTGGTGCCCTGTGAATTTTGGCTTTTCCCAAAACTCAAATCACCTTTTAAAGGGAAGAGGTTTCAGACCATTGATGAAATTCAGGAAAATACAATGTGACAGCTGATGGCGACTGGAAGAACTGTGTGAGGTCCCAAGGTGCCTACTTTGAAGGGGACTGAGGTGTCATTGTCCTATGTACAATATTTTTGTATCTTGTGTCTTCTTCAATAAATGTTTCTATCTTTCATATCACATGGCTGGATACCTTCTAGGCAGACTATATATATCATACACACACACACACATACATACATACATATATATATACATACAGTTTTTCTGGCACCACTTATTGAAAAGGTAATCAGTTCTCCACTAAATTGCCTTTGTATATGAAAAAAACATTTTTTCATATATATGTGGGTTTATTTATGAACTCTTTTCTGTTCCATTGATCTATTTGTCCATCCTTATACCAATGCAACAGTGTATTAATGTAGTTTTATAATAAGTCCTGAAATCAGGTAGTATTAGTCCAACTTTGTACTTATTTTTTTAATTTGCTTTGGTTATTGTAGGTCCTGTGAATTTCCATATGAATTTTAGGAGTCCCTTGGCAATTTCTCCAAAAACTGTATACTGGAATTTCAATTGGGATTATATTTACAGATCAACTTAAGGAAATTTGGTAGTTTGACAATATTGGTTTTTACAACCCATGAACAAGTTATGTCCTTTCATTTTTTATTGGGTCTTCTTTCATTTGTCTCAGAAATGTTTTATAAATTTTGGTATTTGCATATCTTTCATCAAATTTATTTCCTAAATATACCATATGTTTATGCTATTGTAATGACATTGAGTTTCACAATAATCATTGCCATATACAGAAATGCAGATTTTTATATACTTAACTTGTATTCTGCAACCTCACTAACCACATTTTTCT